AATTATCCCTCCTTTTTGCAATTTTTCAAATGTCGTGTAATCGGATTGGATTCTCGGCGACAAATGACATCCGATACACGACATTTCAAAAATGGCAAAAAGGAGGGACAACTCAAAAGGTGGGGTTGAGATAGGAAGTTGGTGTCCGAGTGGATCGAGGTCACGATAGCTCAAGTGGTCGAGCAGCGGCGTATCTAGCCGAAGATCGTGGGTTCGAATCCCGCTCGTGCCATTGACTTTTTTATCTCAATTAAAAACCTTAATTTTTTGAATAAATTTGATCTGATGATTGATACATTGGGCTAAAAGGAAAATTTGATTTATGATTACCTTTAAAATGACAAAACGCCACTCAGCAAATAAAAATACGTGAAAATGTTCATTTTTGCACTTTTTATTGGTAAACTTGATAAAAAATTCCTTGATTTATTTGAATTTTTCCTAATTTTACGTTTTCCTAATTAGACCAGAAAATTGAACTATTTCCAAGTATATTCACATAAATTACGCCTCTCTGTATTTTTTTTACCTTATGGTCTAGCATAATAATAATAATACTTTATTGCAAAAAAGAAAGGTAATAAACATTACATAGTATATAATTTAAAGTAAAATTATGGCATGGAGGGTCCGTCTGCCGGAGGTCGATTTTCATTTGACTTAAATTTTTGGTCGACACAGAAAAAAATGTACAAAAGAAAAAATTAAAAAAAAAATTGATCCATAAATAAATATTACAATTGATAATTTAATTTTTAATAATAACATTAATTACTAGCATATATTATAAACAATAATTTTTGTTCTTCGTTTAATTTACAATAATATAGATATATAAATTATTTGGGCCAATTTAGAATGACAAGGCTTTAAAATATTCAAAAATTAAATTCTAATATTAACCCTTGGCGATAGTGCCAAGCGTGGCGCGCATATTTGATTAAATTTTTGTAATCATTAAGCAGTAAGTCAATAACCTGTGTCATATTCAATTTAGAAAAATTTAGATGGAGAAGCCGAATTTCCGATAGGATAGTGCATTTTGCAATAAAATGCACTATGTCTTCTTTAACCTGGTCATTGCATAATGAACAAATTACATTTTGTCTAGCCCGAAAAGCTGCACCATTGAGATAAAGGAGGTCCCCTCTGATTTTGAATAACCACCTTAACTCGACCAATGACAAACCTTTAGACCTGTCCTTAGATAGGTTAAACATATTAAAATCATCTTGGTAAAGTTCCTTATAGAATAAAAAGCGCGAGGTTGATCTGACTTGTTCACGATGTTCTTCACTGAAATTGACACTCAGTTTTGTTGTAATTTCCTTAAACTGCAAAGGCCACTCATTCAAGTTATTTAGAGAAAATTTTTGTTGTTGTTGTTGTTGTCGGACACACTTCCAAAGGATTATTTCGCACGAAGCTCCCCCTCAGCAGAAGTAAGAGATTCTACGGCTGTACGCCGAGCGTCGTCGACAATCTGAGAACTTTCCGTCTGCAGGCAGGTAATAGGTAATCGTTCAACTTGTTTAAGTTCATGTAATTTTGTTTCATTTATTTCTTATAATATCAATGGTCTTAAATCTAAAGTAAATGATCCCTTATTTCTAAGTTTTATAAAGCAATATGATGTGTTCATTTTGTTAGAAACCTTTATCACAGAGAACAATTTCAGTTTATATGATCATTATTTCTCAGATTATAAATTACGTTGGGTGCCAGCTGTGAAAAAATCAAAATTTGGAAGACCAATTGGTGGCAATTTATATGCCATCAAATCTGGTATTTACAAGTTCTGTTTGTTCTGTACTCTAGGCGGTGTTGATCTGATTTGTGTTAAGGCTCCAGAAGTTAATTTATGGATATTGCCAATTTACTTATGGTGTAGCATATTGGCCCTGTAATATTTGTAACAATTAAAAAAAATACTATACTTATTAATCAAAATATGATCCAATGCCAACGGATGTGTCCGGCAAGCAGAGAAATGTTGCTTGATGTGTCCCACCTAATTGAAGGGTGCAATTCCTTGGCTCCATATAGAGAGCGCGTAGTAACCTCATACCAGGTCAGCTGAGTGAGTTCTTATTTTGATTCGTGGAGCAAACGGGATTGTTTTGTTGTATATAGTTTTGTGTTTCTAGCAATGAATGTATTTATAAGCGTGAGAGGGTCGATGACGAAATATTGAATACCTCATCGACTTTCAATCAGGTTAGTCGTATAATATGTGTATAGAGTGATGTAGGATTGAATACTCCACTGTCAAATGAGTGAATGGTGTGTAAATAAGTAAAAATGTTTTTAGTAGTGAGTGGGAGTGTGAATGTATTTAGGAAATGTTTCTGTTAAGAGGCTGAAATGACATAGGTGTCATAGCTCCTGGAGTCCAACCTCGAATTAAGTCTGACTCCAGACTGCGATTTTGGTGATTCTCGAGGCCTGTCTTTATTGTAATTCCAAAAGGTGGAAATACCGGTGGATTGTGAAAAGTGATAAGCGCAACTCTTTGTGTTTGTATGTGCGAAAGCAAATATGAACTGACATAATAAATATTTCGCCCCTTTTTGATAGTTTATCAACTCCTTCGTTATAATTAGCACATACCAAGGTCAACTCTCCAGTCTCTTTTATTTTTTCTGTCTCAACTAGAATTTGCGACAAAAATATAGTTCTTAGTGTAGAAGTTACTATTTTTTATTCTTGAATACTACTTAAACTATCCTTACAGCACATTAGAAACTACCTGAAATGGCGAGGACTAAGAGCACGTTTAAGGCAATAATTTCTGCTGTGTACACAGAAAATTCCCGAGTGACGATTTATGGGGTCATAAAACGCGCACCCGTCGCGATATATTATCGGGTATATCTATGTTTTTCGTTCATAATAGGTCTACCTATTAACACATTGTTAGGTAGGCGTTGCCTTTTTGAAGAATTCCCGGTTAGCAATTATTTTCTTATATTTAATAATTTCCCAGAGATTAATATTGTTTTTCGAAGGTTTTACTTGCAGGTAAACAGAGGTTTTTTCTCGTTTTAGATGTTAATTTTTTTATTAAGCAATTGAACTGAGACAATTTCTCCTTTCGTAATCGTACTCTCGGAGAAATCATATCTCAAGTGGAGATATTTTCTTATCTTTCACACCGTGAAATAAGGGAGTGAATATTCATTGAGGGCTTATGCTATTTCCAGCCCTTGGACGGTCGCGGTCTGAAAGGCGTCAGTTAACAACAAACAACTCACAATCAGTCCTGGAAATGACCTAACTCCGTTATTAATCCTCTTGTTGGTTAAACTAATCCAACAGATTACTGAAGGATAAGTAAATCTGCGGAGAATAATCGCATTGTTGTATTGGGACAGATTGTTTTGATCTCACACGATTTTCCCGAGTTCAATAGAGAATTGTCTTTTGTATGTTGTTATATTTGAAAATTTTCCCTCTGTCGTACTAAGCACCATTTTTGATTTCTCCTTTGAAAGAAAACAAAAATTTCGTCCTTAACTCAACAAGTAAAACACTAAACTTATACCAATAATGATAAATAATAACATATTACTATTTTTGTTTATTTTTAAGTATTTGCTTCGAAAGTTTTTAGTTAAAAAGAAAAAGGTGCTTTGCCCAGTTTATAACCTTGACCAACCGCTGAAGCTCGCGAAATGTCGAAATGACTACAGGGTGGATAGGCAGACCAAGATATCGGTACAAACTATTCGTCATCTATAGTGTGCTGCATGAGAAGTGCTGTGAATGACTGCGGAAGATCTCGAAATGACGAAATGCAGTTTGAGAAAAGCAGTGCGATGGACAGAATAAGATGATTAATACATACTGTTCGTCATTTCAGCAAGTGATAAGTTTGTATAGGTGCCTCACCGTGCCTATAACCTTGACCAATCGCTGAAGTTTGCAAAATGCCGAAATGAATTTTGACTGAGAAAAACAGTGTGGCTAACCAAGACGATTAGTACATTCTTTTCGTCACTTTTAGAGTGGGTTTATAAAGTGACTCAATCTGCTTATACATTGACGAATAGCTAAAGATCTCAAGTTTTTGTGACTGTGACAAATTATCATTAATTAAGTTAAAAATTATTTATTATTATGATTGAGAATTGGTTCCAAAAGGTATTGGTTGAGATAAAAAAGTCAGTGTCACGAGCGATATTCGAACCCACGACCGTCGGCTTGATACGCCGCTACTCTACCACTTGACTTCGATCCCCTCGGGCACCAACTTCCCATCTCAACCGCACTTTTGAATTTTCCCTCCTTTTTGCCATTTTTCAAATGTCGTGTAATCGGATTGGATTCTCGACGACAAATGGCCACGGAGAACTTTAGTGAAGTATACTTCATTTTAATTCATTAAATTCACTATTTTTCGTGGTCCGTTTGACCAGTTAATATCATTCAAATAATTAATGTTTTAAGTTGAGATAAAAAAGTCAGTGTCACGAGCGGGATTCGAACCCACGACCTTCGGCTAAATACGCCGTTGCTGTACCACTTGAGCTATCGTGACTTCGATCCACTCGGACACCAACTCCCCTTGCCCCTCCTCCTTTTGCAATTTTTCAAAAAGCCGAAGGTCGTGGGTTCGAATCCCTCTCGTGACACTGATTTTTTTTATCTCAACCAATGCCTTACATAAAGATTAATTAATTTAAAGAAGTTATCTGGTCAATCGGACCACGAAATCTAATGGATTATTAATGATGATCGTCCATATTATTCTGAGTAGATTCGGTTTTTTTTTTTAGTTGGTAGATGGTCTACCTTTGAAGCCGTTATCTTTGTAAATCAAATTATAAGGCTTTGCTCTTGGTGACCTTTTGAACCCGGTCTCTTGTTTACAGTCATCTTTGGTGGAGTTAAGTAATAAAGTTTTGGCAGGCCTAAACTAAGTTTCTGTTCCTGACCACGAGCCCGATTCTGCTCCACTTTGCTAATTTTGAAACTTAAAAGTCTTTTTTTTCTTGCAGAAGTAATGGCAGCATGAAGGGAAGGCACTTGAAGCGGAGGTTCAGCCTGCAGCCGTCTTCCTTCATGAGGGATATCCCTGAGACCAATCACCACAGAAATTTAAGGTAAGCCGCACATCAAGCATAAGATTAATGCGTTTCCTATATGAAAATCTCATGGAGGGAACCGGCCGACATAAGGGCGAACAGTTTTGAATCGGCTCCGATAAATAATTGACGTGCGATCCGCCCGGCCTGGAAAACCACCCCTAAAAGTTAGAGGCTCTTGTGAGTTATTTACGACCCTCCCTCCTGGGCCATTTCGTTCAAGTAGGCTTTGAATGAGGCATGAAAGGGAAAGGGAATTTTACATACGGAGGCCAACCGTTTTAATGAATAATGCTTTCTATCACTCTCCATCATCAAAGAGATCTGGAGCTTTTCCTAATTTAAGTTCGCCTAACGCTACCTTCAGTACGCATGGAAAACGGCCGTTTTACATGACAGGAACAATTAAATATAAACCAATTTGGGCTTTGAATAATTAAACAAATCTGACATTTGGTATTTTTCATGTAAACCTCTTGGAGAAAAAAAATCCCCCAGAAAAATAAATATTTCCAAAAGCCTAATTCTACCAGCACATTAATATATTAAGACAATTTACTTTATATGTTAAAAAGAGTAAAAAGCTTTTTCAAATGGAAAAACATTCAAGGAGACTGCATTAACATTGGAAAATTGTGAATTTAAAATGAATTTACAATTTTTATATGATAAATTGTATATTAAAATAGATCAGAAATGAGGCAAATAGAACGGAAACATTCAGTTAGTCGACCTTTTGTAGAATATATCATCCTCTTCATCAGGACTAGGAAACAATGATTACAAATTTATAAATTTGTTAATTTTAAAGATCGTTCTAATATTTCATAATTTATTTTATTACTACATACTTTTATTTCTTTATTCCGTTACTGATAACTTAAACAGTGCGAAAGTTTAATTATTTTTGTTACAAATAATGAAGTTTTGTTCTAACAAAGACTGCTTCCTTGGTTTATTTTGGATTCTTACTATAATTGAAATTTTCTAATTAATACGAAATTCTCAGCAAACACTAAAAAGATTCAATTGAAATTTTGCATTTTTGATGTGTTAATAAGTGAATTTCGCCAAGCAAAAAATTGTTCTGTATTTAAATAAATAAAACCACGAAACCTTCGGAAAATAAATCAAAATTAGGCACATTCCTAAATTCAAAACAAGAATGAAAATCGTATATAAAGTTTGTATAAAACGAAGCATATAAACTTGACGACCAATTCGAAGTTTGAAGACTTTAGCCGCCACGTAAACCTAAATTTCGGGATAGATTTCAATTTTGCTTATTATCCTGGCCAATCGCTGAAGTTGGCGAAAAACAAAACAATGTGGATAGGCAGACCAAGATGATAGTACAAACCGTTCGTCATATTCAGTGGGGCGATGGGTGCCTCACTCTTATGATAACCATCAACAACGGTTAAAATCGCGAAATGCTAAAATATATTCTTGATTGAAAAAACCGGTGTGGATAGTCAGATCGAAATGATTAGTACAAACTGTTTGTCATTTTTAGAAATGGGTTTGTAGAGGAGCCTAATCTTGACCAAACGCTGAAGATCTCAAGTTTTCAAGTAGTGAAAAAATTTAGTTAAACGCTAAAGATCGCGAATTGCCGATATGGACTGGTTTTTTGGGTATTTCACCATAGTTCTAATCTGATCAACCGCTTAAGTTGGTGAAATGTCTAATTGAGGTTTGACCGAGAAAACAGTGTAGATCGGCGACCAAGAAGATTAGTACAAAAAGTTTGTCATTTTTAAACATGGGTTTTGTAGGTTCCTCACCCTGCTTATAACCCTGACCAAACGCTAAAGATCGTGAATTGCTAAAATGAAGTCTGGCCGATCGAAGTGGGGTAGGCAGTCAAGGATGAAAAAAATGACCAAAACTGCAGAATATGAAAAAAAGCTAGTTAAATTTGGTATATTTTAACTATATATTGTTGAAGTTGAAAAGATATCATTATGAAAACAAATAAAACATTAATGAGAAATTATTTATAAAACTTATTTTTTGATTGTTTACAAGTTGTACTTTGAATTACTACATGATAAAAAGACATTTAAAAATTTTGTTTCGTTTTTTATTTTTGTTGAATACACCTGACTTGCAATATTGTACCGGCCATAAACTCACCGTCAGGTCCATTATTCATAAAACATATATAAAAACAAACCTGAAAAAGAAAGACGGTTGTGATATTTTTGTGTCAGGCGGATTTAATCCGGTTTAATGGCCAAGAATAATTAATGGTCAAGAGTTTTTAAAATGTTGGGCGAGCCAGAAAAATAAAATTGTACTTTTAACATATTTCTTCTCTTTATGGTACGGCTTGAAACCAAATTGTGAGATTCAGACTTGTTCCGGAAAAATAGCTCGACGAAGTTTGGAATAAACATTATTTTGACAAATCAATGTACAGTAGAAGGACTGTCTATGTGTATGGCTTTAATAATAAATCGTTTAAACAGCAAGTTTTACAACAAACCAATTTTTGTGGGATTTCTCGATGCAGTTTGTGGCATAACTCGTAGTTTGGTCGTTACAAAGAGGACAGACAAATCAAAATTAACGGCAACGACCAAACACCAGTGACGCATGATACAAAAACTAAGACCATAGGTAATCATTTTCTTGTTATTCATAAGAGCTCAGGGATACGAGAATAGCATTTAGAGGGGGAAGGAAGATAGGAAAAAAATAGTGGAGAGAGAGAGAGGGAGTGAGAGAGAGAGGGAGTGAGAGAGAAAGAGAGAGCAAGAAGAATAAAATGAAAGAGGTGAGAAAATAGGTACGTAAACTAATGAGTCCGAAATTACAGAAAGAAAGAGTGAGAAAAAGGGAGAGGGGGAGAGGGAGAGAGAAAGAAAGCAAGAAGAACATAAATAAGATGAAAGAGGTGAGAAAATAGGTACGTAAACCAATGTGTAAAAAAGGTTACAGAAAGAAAGAATGGGAGAGAGGGAGAGATTGTGAAGGAAAAAGAGGAAGACAGAAAGAGGACAGAAAGAGAGAGAAAGAAAGAGAGAGAGAGAGTGAGAGAGAGAGGAAGAAGAATAAAATGAAAAAGGTGAGAAAATAGGTACGTAAACTAATGAGTCCGAAATTATAGAAAGAAAGAGTACGAAAAAGGGAGAAGGGGAGAGGAAGAGAGAAAGAGAGGGAGAGAGAAAGAAAGCAAGAAGAACATAAATAAGATGAAAGAGGTGAGAAAATAGGTACGTAAACCAATGTGTAAAAAAGGTTACAGAAAGAAAGAATGGGAGAGAGGGAGAGATTGTGAAGGAAAAAGAGGAAGACAGAAAGAGGACAGAAAGAGAGAGAAAGAAAGAGAGAGAGAGAGAGAGAGAGAGAGAGAGAAATAAGAATAAAGAGATAGAGAAATACCCAGAAACATAAAAAAATTGACTAGCAGATAGGAAGAAAACGAAAAACATGAGGTAAAAGTATATCACCTAGAGAGGAATAAAAACTAAGGGATAGAACGAGAGGATGAGGGAGAAAGTGAAAAAGAGAAAAATAGAAAGACAAATAGACAAATAAGTAGAGATAACCTCAAGCAGACAAAATAAGACAGAGAGTCTGAGAAAGGACCAGCGGGCTGACCCGTACATAACTAGATAGGCCTAAAATGTAAAAGTAATCCGGAAAAGTCAAAGAGTGAAATAGAGAAATCACTACTTAAAAGTGAGATAGTGATTAAAATTGAGGATAAGAGATCGGGTGAGATTGTGAGCGATGGGAATGGTTGGAACTGATAGACAGTCAATAAGTCTTTCATCGACGTTAATATACTCGTGTACAATTAAGAATAATGGAATGTTAGCTGTAAATTTGTGGATTTGAGAATTTATTTTTATCTTCAGTATATTTATATTTAGGCTAGAAAGGCGAAAAGACAAATTAAATATAGACAATCTTAGGCAGACAGAGTGTGAGTATACCAACGACAGTCAAATAACCAGAAAGGCATAAAATGAAAAAATAATCAGGAAAAATAGAACAGAGAATGAGGTAGAAGTTAGAACAAATTAGTTGTGCTTGAAGCATTCCTGCTTCACCAACCTTTTTATACACGAGCTGATAAAGGTCAACAGAATGGGGAAAAAACCCGGTAGCTACGGAAGCAAGTACGAGGGAAAACAGGGAAGGTCAATATACATCGATCTTCCCAACTTCGAATTTTCGCACAAATAACACGGGTTGGATTTCGTCAAGCAGCCCTGAGAGGTCGTCAGCGAAATTATTAAGCCGAGGGAAAATAGCGTGTTGTTTTTAAAAGAGGACGATTTGGATTATTCACCTTCTATTGAACGAAAAGTAACGACTTACCTGTCGCTCTGTTAAAAAATGTAAAGAGTGAAATTTAATCTCGGAATCCCCGTCCTGTAAGTTCACCGCGGCATAATCCCTCGCAATGATAAAACCCGAAATAAGAGTGAAAAATCGTAATCGTAAGGCTTGAAACGTTTTGGGATCTTTTGAATAATTTAAGCTCCTGCGATAACAAGGAATTTTTTTTGTCTTTACCTTCTTGTAAACATACAACGCAAATTTGTAAAAATAAGTCGTTATTAATGTCATTTTGGTTAGGCAAACAACAAAAAGTCGATCGGAGATACTATCAAGATAGGATCAGCAATCAATAATATTTTCAAAAGGGGAAAAATCAATTGGCCTAGCATATTAAGCTATCGCGGAAAGACAATTTGTCCGTCCATTCAAGTCGTCTGGGAATTCCTAGGCGATACTGTCTTTCAGTTCGAACAATAGTTATTGTCCCGTGAGTACTCCCCGTCGGGTCGTCGATCAGGCACAACGTCCTCTAAACCATAAAAGACCATTTCCTGTTCCAGATTTGTATGAAGATAAGACTGAAAGACACCAATATGTATAACATTAACCGTTAGATTATATTTATTTAAAAAAATCTAAACCCTTAAAAATTTGCTCTACTTTCTTCTGTTCACTGTAGGCCAAATCTCGTGCTTCATGTATAAATAAATCACTCTAAAGATGGCGAGAAGCATGACGTGATTGACAAACTAAATCAGCATGTTGAGACAGAGTAAAATGAACGGAAACACCCGAAATATAGAATAACGTGGGAAAATATGAAATCTAAAATTTTGATTGCCATTGTTGATTGAACACCACCATCAATCATTATTTTAACAGGTGTAAAATAATGCATTTACCGGCTAAATTTAAAACTTTAAAAAAGACGAGGTGATGGAAATTTATTATTTTTAATGAACTTTAATACTATTCTGCTTTAAAAAGATAGTTCCTACTCACAGTAAATTGTTTTGGAACGATCCGGATTTCGAGCATTTTAGCTCATCATCAGGTTGAAGGACTTCTACAACCACGTCTCTCGAATTGTCTTTTCTTTTTAAAAAGGATTGAACACCACACTCACTCAATCAATTATCATTTCTATCAATATACTATTTGTAAATTGTGATGTATTATGCCTTTAAAAATATGGCATTTTCATTGGCAATTCCTTCTCAAGCAGCAAAACGTCAAATATTTTGGAATAAACCTAGGTCGTAAAGTCGTATGGAATATGCGTATCCAAAACTCTATAATAGAGTATGACAAACATAAAATTACGCGATGAACTGTCTGTCAAAGCCCTGGAGACAGTTTGTGAAAAAAAAAGAGAGAGAGAGAGAGTGAGAGTGAGAGAAAGAGAGAGAGAAAGGGGGTAGAGAGAGAAAGAAAGAGACAGAGGGAGAGGAGAGAGAAGGAAAGAAAGAGAGGGAGAGGAGAGAGAAGATAATAGCGCCAAATGAAAGTGAGAAAGCGCATAAAAAAGAGATTTATACAATAAAAGGATGAAGAGATAGAGATAGATATATAAAGATATAGAGAGTGAAAGAGGGAGAGATTAAGAGAAATAGAGAGACAGATCGATAGATAGAGAGAGTGAGTGAAAGATCGTAAATGATAGTGGAAAATGAAAGAGAGAAAATAAGTAAAGAAGAAAGTGATATAATAACATTATGAAGGATTATGTGAGGGAGATAGTATCGGAGATAATATGTAAATAGAGCCTCTCTTTCTTTCTCTCTCTCTCTCTCTCTCTCTCTCTCACTCTCTCTCTCTTTGTTAAATTATTCTCTATATTTAGTATGTCTATTTCAAAAATAATTTACCCCTCAGCGCCTGTTTCTTTAAATTAACGTATTCCTCCACTTACTTGTTAACACCGTTATTCTCAACTGGTCTGGAATGAAGAGTTCCAGTAAAGTCACGTTAAAAAAACGTTACATGTTATTAAGAGATAATGGGCTCTTTCTACAAGATAATATAAAGGCACTAAACATGCGTGGCTGGTTTATTTAAAAGGCATTCAATTAATGCAAAACGGTGCTTGCTGAAAAAGGCTTTGTACGCTGAAAGTTGATCTTTACAAAACGTTACCTGCATATATTTTTAAAATTCCTTCAACCTGATGATGAGCTATAAGCTCGAAATCCGTATCGTTGAAAACAACTTACTTTGAGTAGGAAATATCTTTTTAAAAAGATTGAACAACACTTAAACAGAACTTGAATACGTACACTTAACCAAACACACACGCACACGCACGCACGCACACACACACACACACACACACACACACACACACACACACACACACACACACACACACACACACACACACACACACACACACACACACTCTCTCTCTCTCTAAGCATTTTATTATCAAAATGGATGGACCTGAGGGATGAGATTTTCTTGGTTTTTTATTTCAAGGCTTCTTTCCTATATACTTTCCTTTATCATTTGATCTCTTTATTTTCTCTGTGTTAACGCTTTTTGACATTTAGCCATATTCAGTGGTGGGTCTGTGTATGTAAATTCTTTATTTATCATTACCTTTAATGGATTAATTCAATTTTTTGTCTTCTTGTTCATCGTGGAGTGGTTTCATACTTTTCAGTATTGCTGATATCAATCTTCTTGTTTTTAATTTTACAAGTCGAGCTTAACTAAGTCGAAATGTAGATGAGCCGAACAGTTTTGGCTGAATTTTTATTATTAATTTTTTTAAGGATAAGAAAATAATAAGCAGTATCGTATTAAATAAATTGAAGAAATTAAAAATTAAATGAAAACTGAATAGAACGATAAGTTTCTTTTCTTTTCTACTTTCTACGTAGCAAAGTAAAGCTTAGTGTTTTTTCACCAAGAAACAAAATCGATATTTATTTTTTGCACCCCCAGAAACCTCTGAATACAAATTTTTGGAAAAATCAAAAAAACATTTTTTCTCTGAAATATTCCGCATTCCAAATGCCATTTTCAAAAATCACAAAACTGGCGGTAATTTTGGAACAACTGAACGGATCCACGGGAAATTTGAAACGAGTTTAAATCCGTTTAACTCATACTAAAGGCTCAATACTGGTTAAAAAAAATAAAAATAAAAATAAAATAAATTAAAAAAAAATTAAATTACAAAAAAAAACAGAACTAGAAATATAAAATAAAACGCTTTGGAAGCTTTTATTGATTTAATCCTTTTTTTCCTACTTAGTGACATATAAACCAGAGGTTGTTGATGTAGGCTCAATTTTTTAGCAGCTTTTTTTTACGGTTTTAATACCATGGATAGTGTTTAACATCAAGAGGCGTTATGAATTTTTGAATTGAACACCGACATCAGAAAAAAAAGAAAAAAGTGCCCTCGTTGATCCCCCTCAAACACTCATATTTGCTGTTTACCATAAAAATTCGCATATGATGGTTTTACAGGATGCTTAAAAGGAAACGTCATTGTTTTAGGTTTTTTCAAAAACAGATTTTTTTGACCTATTTCACTGGAAACTGAACGGTTACAAATCCACCATTATTGTAGATTGCCAATATTTGTACTTTAGTTATTTTTGTATGAGTAAATGTTCCTAATGTTTTCTTTTTCAAAGGGAAAGTTTAATAGTTATTTTTATTAATAATTTAATTTATATCTTTCGTCTAGTTTTGCAGTTGGAGTGTTGAACCAATTAGACTAGTCGGTTATTAAAATTAGAAACAATGGACGAGTTTATTTGTCCTTTTAATTTTTTGAACTTTTTAGAATTTAAGTTTGCTGTTTTTGCGTCTTTTGGTGGTATGAGAAAATTATTATTTTTAAAAACATTTTTAAATTGTGTACAGGCCAAGATGGGCCAAGATCCACAATATATATTTAGATCCATTATATTTCGTGGTCCGATTCCAAATAACTTCTTTAAATTAATTAATCTTTAGGTAAGGTATTGGTTGAAATGAAAAAGCTAGTGTCACAAGCGGGATTCGAACCCACGACCTTCGGCTAAATACGGAGCTGCTCTGCCACTTGAGCTATCGTGACTTCGATCCACTCGAACACCAACTCCCCATCTCAACCAACCTTTCCAATTTTCCCTCCTTTTTGCCATTTTTCAAATGTCGTGCAATCAGGATTCAATTCTCGGCGACAAATAAAATGGCCACGAAGAACTTTAGCGAAGATATAATTCGTTTTATTAAATCCATTATATCTCGGTCCGATTGGCCAAATAACTTCTTTCGATTAATTAATATTTATGAAAAAGCTAGTGTCACAAGCGGGATTCAAACCGTCCGCTTGTGACACTATCTTTTTTTATTTCAACGAATACTTACATGATGATTAATGTAGGGTTAAATTAAAACAAAATATATAAGTTATAAGGATAAGCTTTATTTAACGGAAGGGATCAAATAATTAAGGAAGGTTGAGCCGGATTTTCGTAGTGTCTCAGTAGACGAGTGCTGGCTTGACGTAGGCGCCGTAGGTGTAAGGGGCGTGGACGTAGGTCGGTACACTGGCTACTGCTGAGTATGTGGACACGGCTGGTACGGCCGAATAAGACACAGGCACGTGCGGCACGTGGGCAACGGGGGCGGCGACGTACTTTTCGTACACATGGGGATATGCGGCGTAAGCGTAGGGAAGCGTGCCGAGGAGTACGTCCTTCTTAACCCTTTCGTCCTTGGCCGGTTCATCGGCGAAAGCGCAGGCAACAACTGCGAAGAGGATCTAAAACATCGATTGTCTCATAAAAAAGGAAATAGGTAAAAAAAAGTGTATTGTTGAGTGTATTTAGTTATGCTGCGGGATAATTAGTTCGGTCTTTTTATTCTTGTGTTCATATCCTCGCTTCTGTCTCATGCACTTTCTCTTCTGGCCATCTTTATGTCAGTGTTTTAAGCAGGATGAAACACCATCACAAATCACACTGAAGATGGCGAGAAGCCTAGACAAGACTGATAAACTAAATCAACAGGTTCAGACAGAATAAAATGCTCGGAAACACTCGAAATCTACAATAACGTGGGAAAGTATAAAATATAAAATTTTGATTGAACAAACATCAATTATTATTTTAATAAGTTTTTATTTTTTAAAAAGTAGCCATTTATCGGTCACATTTAAAACTTTAAAAAAGGTGAAGTGATGGAAATTTATAATTTTTATTGAACAATATACTATAAATTGTGATATATTATTTAATCCCTTCAAAAAGTTGGCGTTTTGAATGATGTCATAAAAGCGTTCAAAAATTTGGTACCAACATACAATTTTGATATGGGTGACTTCATAAAACTTTTGAATCATACTGAGCTATAAGAAAAGAATATTGTTTATATTATATAGGTATTATTTCTATTTTTTTACTTTTTTTATTGACTAAAAATTCAAAAATAAATAATTCCACAACCGAAAGATCCATTATTTGTAAAAATAAAATAAAATAAAACAGATTAATTAATATAAGCTTTTTTCATACTAATGTAAATCCTTGGTCTTTTGTACATTCATTTTAATAAATACTTTCTTATTGTGGTTAATTAATCATAACAAGAAAAAAAAATTCTGCTATGTAAAAATATTTAAATTAAGTATACATTATTAAAAAATTGTATTGTTGTATAAGAAGCTCCATTAAAAAAAAAAATGCACAATCCATAGAAAATTTTTTGAATGATTTTTTGTCTTACGTGTAATAAGCATATGGTTCTACTTACGAGTACTTTAAGAGCTGCCATTTCGGTAGGTTGGGTCGTCTTGAGCTTTTCTGGTCCAGCGACTGTACTTTTAGCCGCCCTATCCCGCTCTTTTATAGTTCAGACTGCTCTGGGGGGTCAAACGAGCCCCACCTTCCTCCTTGGTATCCCATTGGTTCATCCTACGACAAAAACGGCCCATCCGACCGGCCTTGGAACCCGCCTGTCCTCTTAAACTTTGCGACATTTGTGATTGATCCAAGTGGGAAGAGAAACAAAAAGAAAAGGCGAGAGCACATCACCCAGATACGTGTAGAACAGGAGTCGAAACTATCCTTTCGCAGAAAAAAAAAAGTGGACGGGTTAGTTTCAGAAGGAAATATTTCTCCTGGAACCTCTTGTAAAATTGTAAGAGAGCCTTTTTTAATTTCTCTTAGGTAAAGAGTATTAGTTATAAATGTGCCATATGGTTCCTACCCTTCAAAATTTTTGTTAAAATATAGTTGCCTATAAATTGACTTATGTAAAACATTATTGTATAAAATTAAGAAATATTTAAATTTAATAAATATTATAATAGATCAAATTTGTATATGTTTGTGTTTTCTATCTTTGGTTGTGTGTGTGTGTGTGTGTGTGTGTGTGTGTGTGTGTGTGTGTGTGTGTGTGTGTGTGTGTGTGTGTGTGTGTGTGTGTTCGTGTGTTATGTATGTGCCAGGTTAGGTGTACTTTTCGTATTTATGTACTTACGTGTTTTCTAACAATACGTAAGAAACGTTTAAAGTTCTCTCACGACCATCCATTTTAAGAAAATGCTTAGTTTTGTGTGTAATTTTACAAGTTTTGTAAATATATATTATATAATATGGCGTCTATGTTGTAAATTTGGAATTTGAAAAATCCAGCATAACTGAATTTCTAAACGATAAAGCAATCTTTTAATGAATAAGGAACAATCTCTTAAAAAGTTATACAATGTTCATAATTTATGATATGATCATCAATAATAGAAAACAAAATTAATATTACGTTGAAATATTTTGCAAAATTAAAATAAAAACATTTATGTTCAGATCATGTTATGCTTCAGAGATATTTTTAAATAATATTAATTGTCTTTTCAAGGGCACATGTTTTGTTTTTTATAGATAAATAACGCTTAAATTATCTAAAAGTTCATTTTTAAACGTTTAGGGTTGGTTAGAATTTTGATCAAGACAATACTTTATATCAATAAATTTTTATTAATAGAGTTAGTAATTTTATTTAAATTTTTTGCCTGAATAAATAATAGTGTCATCAGCGTAGCTAAAGATTTTTCCGAGAAATGTTAAATTTTAATAAATCGTTAAAATATGCAAGAAGACAGGATTTAAAAATGTACCCATTTATTCCCCTCATTTAATTAGTAATTGTGTACTATAGCAAGATTCAATTCTAGTTTTCAAAGCCCTACAGAAAGAACTTAAAAAGATTAAGCGCATTTCCATTGATGCTAATTTTAGATAACTTTGATATTAATATTGTACTGCCAACAGGTGTCAAATTCCTTCTTAGTGTACACAAAATGCTTGCAGGTTTTTTTAGCATCCAATTTTTGAATTAGCAAAATTCAAATATGGCTTGTTTGGCTGATTTATTAGGAAGAAAACCAAACCATTAGAAAGTATATATTATTTTTGAAAAGAAAGTTAATTAATCGATTTTTGATATATTTTTCTATGATTTTTGCCAAGGATAGAGATAAAGAAATCAGTCGATAGTTGTTGACATCTAATTTTGATCCACTTTCCAATAATGGTATAAGATTTCTTTTTAAATATGTTGGGAATATCCCCAGGTAAAGATATAAATCGGAAAGTATAGGGTATTTTATTGGCCTTCAACCACTATGGGTCATTTAGGCCGAATGCTATAGTTTTAAATCAATTTAAGTAGATGGTTTACTAAATTATGATGAAAAAATGAGTTTGTACCATTATTTTTACTATTTCAAGTCCTTCAAAATGAATTGGGTCCAACAAAAATAAATTTTGTTCGATTTAGAACTAAGAATTACTAATGAATTTTATAATATTTTATTTGATCTTTGATTTTAGTAACCTCCGTTGCAAAAAAATTGCACTTTGCCATTTGCAATCTTTAAATCATTTATTACTATTTCTTATGAGTTTGGGTTCATAATTTTGTAAATTGTATTAATTCATAATGGTAAATAACATGTTATTGTTATGTCATTATTCGTATGTTGTTAGCAGATTGAAAAAATGTAAATTTACTTGTTACATATTATTTATTTGTTAACACTCCTATTTGCTTATTTATTGTTGTTAGAGAATTGCTAAGAAAATTAAAACATAAAGATAAATAATTATTGTTAATTTATTTATTTTGATTAAATAACTTATTGTATATGTTGAAACTTGCACGATTTTACTTGTACGTTAAAAATTAAGTACAACTATAAAGTGTATATCGTATATATCATTATAATATCTATCATTCTCGTCTGTTTTTATTTAAGATACACGTACTATTGTTTGATAAAAATAAACCTATCAACATTGCAGACGGACTTATGTCCATTGTCTTTTATAAATTAATTAAGGTTTTTAGTTGAGATAAAATGTCAGAGTCACGAGCGGGATTCGAACCCACGATCGTCGGCTAGATACGCCGCTGCTCTGCCACTTGATCGTAGTCACTATAGCTCAAGTGATAGAGAAGCGGTGTATCTTGCCGAAGGTCGTGGGTTCGAATCCCTCTTGTGACACTAATTTTTTTATCTCAACTAAAAACGTTAATTAATTGAAAGATTAATTGGTCAAGCGGACCACGGAAACTAGTGAATGTCTTTTATAAATTGAAATGTAAAAACGAAAATGTATAAAGTTCAATAAATTTACTTATTTATTACTATTATTATTAATGGTAAATAAATTTTATTAATTTGTAATAATTTATAACTCCTTTTTATTCATTATCATTTTATTATTTGTAATTACGTATAACCTTTATTGTGCTGCTAAATAAATTTGATTAATTTGTAATAATCCTTTTTATTATTTATTATTTTATCATTTGTATTTAGATATAATCTTTATTGTACTGTTTTTATCTTAATTTCAGATTGTGGTGGTTACTCGTATACGGATTTATATAAATCTACACACCCATGTAAATACATACAAGACTGTACTGTAACGTGCACTGCCTAAGGCTGTTCTTCAAAGTGCAAAGGAAAGTTTAGTCTAGCAAATATAACTTGAAAACCTATATCTAATACAAACTTGAAGGTACATAGTCCTATTATGTCCTTGATAACTGATTACTGATCTATGAAAGCTCATATCTGCGCACGCATCACTGCCCTTGAGCCTGTCAATTTTCGCAGTGCCTCTATTATAGAACTAACCTAATTGAATGCCGATTGTCACCCATCGAAAAAGAATGGGAAAGAGAGGGAAATAACTCCTTTAAAATGGCACCATCCTCTGGTACACAGATGGATCTAGAACACAAGTAGGTATGGGGGCAGGAGTATTTGGACCCGGAACCAAATACTCAGAACCCATGGGAAAACACACCACTATCTTTCAAGCTGAGATTCATGCAATTGAAAGATGTACCCAATTCAATCTAAGTAAAGGGTACAAAACCAAGAATTTAGCTATCATGTCAGATAGCCAAGCAGTCATCAAAGCACTAAGGTCAAGTGCCATTAGTTCAAGGATGGTGCTGAACTGCAAAACCAAACTAAACATATTAGGTACGCAGAATAAAGTCAGCTGGGTCCCAGGACACATGGGAGTAGAAGACAACGAGAAAGCGGCACCCTTGCAAGGAAAGGGGCTGCTACACCACTGATAGGACCTGAACCCTTCTGTGGCATAGGAATCCACACTATTAACGAATATCTCAGACAAAAGGACAAAAAGAAAATGAAGGAACAATGGAATTGACTAATTGGACATAGACAATCCAAGAATCTTCTGACCAATTTTGGTAGGAAAGAAATCACAGAATGTGTCAAAGGAAGCACGAACAGACTGCGAACCCTAACAGGATTCCTAACAGGACACTGCAGATTAAATGGACACTTAAAGAAAATTGGAACAACAAGATGGCACATGCAGATTCTGCAAGGAGGCAGAAGAGACACCGACACATTTACTAACAAACTGCGGAGCTACATTAGCCCGCAGGAGGAAATGTTTTGGGATGTGTAATGTGACCATAGAAGAGCTTCAACCACTGAAACCGACCTATTAATCGAATTTCTTGATGAAATGTGTGTGATGATGTGCTTTAGGCAGAGAACGGAGGCTACAATGGCTCTTAAAGGGCGCAGTATATTACACCCCGAATATTACATCTACATCTACAAGTCACCCATCGACCATCTCACATTATACATTCACGCTACTAAATACATTCACTCTTAATACATGTTAGGGACACAAAACACATTAGTGTGTACAATAAGAATAGATTTCCTCCAAGAATATAAAAACGTGACCCAGATACTCGCCGCCGTGTAAACGAAGAAATGGACGATTTCATCAAATGTACAAAGAAGTTAATATTGAATTTGGAGATAGTCACTAAATAAACATTTTATAACGAGAGAAATTATGAATCTAAACTACTCAGCTATTAGAAGTGAAGATAGGCGTAAATGTTCATTACGTAATTTGCATGTTATTAAGAATGCATATCATTTTGTTTGTGATTATCCAATCCTAAACGAGTTGAGATAAAAATGGAGAAGATGCATAGTGATATCAAGGATTACATTCTATGTATATTAAAAAAATGGTCTGAGCTAGTCAATTACATTATTGATGCTTGATAGAAATTAATTAATAAATTAATGTAACTATTAGCAGGTAGCAAATATTTCATTAATATTTATTATTGCATCAATTTTTGTTTGCTTACTGAACAAGTAATTACTGAATTAATTAATAATTTTTATAATTTTAGGTAAGATTTACTGCCAGTATTGTTGATAATATTTATATAATATTTTTAAACGAAAATTATTGTTAATAGAATAATGTATTTAATATCCCCTGTTAAAAGCGTAAATTTATATTTATAGACATAATTAATCCGTAAATA